CGTCGGTGGCCTCGCCATCACGACGTTTGTTCTCACAACGCTTTTTGGCTTCATTCTCTTCATGCATTTCATCTAGAATGGGCTCCAGATCCCGCACAGTGCTGTCGTTCAGACCAATATATTCCCCCGTGGACGCAGCACGTGTGACGGAATCTGCTGTGCCTGCCATCATCCTGCTTGGCTTCTCTTCATAGAAGACCCCGGTGTGACTATAAAATGCCTTGCGAGTTTTACTGTCCAGGAAACGATATCCACGTTTCTCTCTGGAATAACCCACAAAGATTGCCTCTCGAGCTTTGTCATCCAACTTTCGTCGTTCCACTTTGTCAATGTATGTGAGAGCTGCACATCCAAACGGCCTCAACTTCGAATAGGAAGGAGTCTCACGATACCAGACAGTGTACGGAATCTCCATACCTCGCACAGAATTTGGCATCATATTCACACAGTATGCTGCTGTCATAACAGCTTCCGCCCACATCGGCCGCGGTAGGTTGAAATGAGTCAGCAAGCATCTCATCCGCTCGGTTAGAGTCCGAATCATCCTCTCAGCAACTCCATTTTGTTCCGGCGTGTGCTTAATACTGGTCGTACACTCCATTCCATACTGAGCGCAATTTTGCTGCAGCTTGTCAAATTCTTTCGCATTGTCACTTCTCAAGCTTTTCATTCGAACATGCAGCTGGGTCTTAACGCGTTCGTAATATGCACCAAACTCCTCAAAAATATCCGAGCGACGTTCGAGTAAGACTACACTAACAAACGGACTTGCATCGTCGACAATGACTGCAAATTATTTCTTACCACCGTAAGACGCCTCTGCATATGGACCCCACACATCAAGGTGAGCCATCTCGCCCACTAGCCATTCTCGATGCTGAACCGCTAGTGACTTGAAGGATTTTCGAGTCATTTTTCCCTTTACACAAGCTTCACACTCAAAATTCTCAGGCGTACGAAGGTCCACATTGCCCAGTGGCCATGCGTCATGCCGAAACAATGCGTTAAACACACTACGCCCTGGATGGCCTAGTCTAGTGTGCCACAATCTCACCTCATCAGTGTTCTTTGGCAGAGCCACCATGGTCACGTTACTAGGACTTTCCAGCTCCAGCCGATACAAGTTTGTTTCGTCTACATGCGCCACTGTATTCCGCTCTTGCAGCATCACATCAGCTCCCTCTGGCTCGTTAAAATACACTTTCACACGTTCCGTAATTGGTACATCCTTATTTACTTCCGTCGCACCGAGTAAAGACTGCACTGCAACTCGGGCACATATCTTACTCCACGCAACGTCAATCTTTTCTTTCCACTGCTCGTGCTCAACAGTTTCACAACTGTACCAATTCCTTCAACACTTAAGGAGTGATTACCTCCAACACGCACTCGTGCACTGAACGGCGTGAAATCCACAAAGGCCGTCAACTAATTGGTCATGTGACTTGTAGCACCAGAGTCCAAGTACCATCGATCGTGAGCGAGGTCTGCAATCTGCCTTTTCAAGTTCATCACATGAAGAATTACGTAGGCCTCATCATCTGATTCAATATAGGTCCCTTTTCCTGCTGTCTTGCTGCGCTTTGACGGCGGGGCATCGCTCTTCGTTTCGTTTGGCGGCCCTTTACCAAGATGAGGGCATTTGTACACTCGATGTCCCTTCTCGTTGCAGTGTAAGCACTCTGGACCACCACCTTGCCCGTACGAACCTCGTCCACCAGCGCCTCGACCTCTGCCGTAACCTTCTCCGCGGCCTCGACCACAACCTTCTCCACGGCCACGTCCGCGTCCACCAAAGCGTCCGCGACCTCGGCCACCATCAGCAAATAGCGCCTTCTCTTCATCAATGTTGTCGGCTGCCACCTTGCGGTCTTGGCGGCGGTCGTACGCAGTTTCAAGGGCGTGCTCCAACTGCTCATAGTTTGGGGGTTCGTTTGGGTCAGTCGGCACGTGAGAGGCCAAGACCGTCTCCACCACATTGTCGTAGTCACTGGGAAGCGAGCCAATGAGTAGAGCCGGCTTCTCGTAGTCGTCCAGTGGCTTCCCAAGCAGCCCGATACCTTCCTAACGTCAGGGAGCCGGACTCAAACGATCAACAAGACCACGGTGGCAACAGCGATATGTAGCTCGTCCGTGGAAGGTATTGGCCTCTTGCACTGAATCCTATCCATCAGGCGTCTGATCTCGCCGAGATGGTCCGACATATTACCCTTGGCGTCCAACTGCAGCTTCCTCAACTTTGTCATTTCCGCAGCATACTTAAAGTAAGTCTTTCCGATGTACCGTTTTTTTCAAATGTTCCATCACTCTGTACAGGGTTGCCTTGAACTTGACTGTCTTCATTATCTTGTCAGTCATGCCATCGTACAGGATCTCTTGTGCTCTCCTACTCTCCTTCATGTACTTTGCATGATCATCCGTCTCCTCTCCTTTCGACTCGTCATCAGTGAAACTCGGTTCCGTGGGCTCTTTTTCGCAGTAGCTCCACAGGCCTTTGCGTTGGAGCTTCAAAGTCATTTGTTCCAGCCACATTTCGAAGTCCTGGTCATCAAAAGATGAGTGTGCATTCTTGTCATCCGATCCTCTCTTCTTGTTGTTGTTTGTGGTGCTCATCGTTCTTGTTACAGGTGACCCGTTGGGCTTATAACCACTTGTAAACTGCACTGGTAAGCAAGCGTCTGCACCTCCAGCAAGAAACGTAGAGCACTCGAAGTTGGTGGGAAAGGCAGCTTGTGCTGCTGTTTGTAATTTGCGAAGTGAGCTCTAGCATTCTCTCTCTCATTCTTCGTCTAGCTCAATATACATCATCATGTTTTCTCACTACTTCCCTCACCTTTTCCAACTGCCTCAGTCACACACCCTCAACAACAAAGCCTTTTAGTCGGGTCGGCATCAACCGTGAGGACCAGTACATTAAAAAAAAAAAAAAAAACGGGAACCGCCAAAAAAAGAAGTTGAAAAAAAGTACTATGTTTTACATTGTACTTGGTTGATCAGATAGCCATCGTCATCTGATACTTATTATACTCCTTCCGTTTCAGATTACGTCACCAACTTTCGTTACTGCCCGGCGCTGCAAATATTTGGGCATGGGACTTCAATCAGGAAGCACAACAAAATAACGAGCGCGTTATGACGATACTTATCCGCTACATTTCCAAAAATACCGCGTGTCCTTACAAAAAAGCAAGTGTACAGGGGCGACTAAAAAATGCGAGCATGATTAGGGTGTCGCCTTAAATTAAAACTTAGGAACCCGCGTCCTCCCGCACAAATGGTGGTGCTCTTACCCAATTGAGCTACATGCCCAAAGGCCATTTTTAAATATGGTGAAATGGATTCATTCAAATATTACTGAGTATTCTCACTGCATCTACCTGCAATCTCAGTAGTTCTGCTCTCTCGGGCTTCTCGTGGCTAATTAGTAAATGATACGCCGCGCCTCCAAATTAGAACCTTGATTTACACGCATATATAGTTTCTGCCTAACACGCCAGTTTCCGAGGTTTTGCCTTGCTGACGTGAGAGCGCTTGAAGCAGTTATTTTCTCGATCTTGAATGACACACTTTATCACCATCTGTATAGATACGAATGGGTCTTCAAGTGCCGTGTCCTATAGTTTTTGGTATGATTCCATAGTGCAATTTATAAGCTCGTCAATGTTACGTGGACTCTCTTCATTTTAAACCGCTTGAATCGAACAGAAGTAGCCCAAATCGAGGATTGTTGGGCGGCTGCATGTCGATCTTAATTTTCCACCCTCCTTATCTACATGCAGAGCGAATAGCTGGATCATTGGGACTGACATGGAAGCGAGTCCAATCTTGCTGAATGATCAGTTTGGTCCCTCGTAGCATGGAAGGACACTTTGCTATGATAGCTGGATTGATTTTGCCGATTAACATCTCGCGCTACTCCTTGAGACCAACATTAATGGAGTTGGTCATAAGCGTGACGGCCGGTCAGTTCCGTTTTGAGCCGGAACGCGTTCAATGAAGGTCCTCATGACCAGCTTGTCATTGAATACTAGAGATCCATCTCTAACGTGGATCGGACGCATAACCGCAGCCATGAACATCACTTTGTGATGAAGCGCGTGGACAGGGTGGTGTAGTAATTCCCATGGCAACTTTAGCCACTAGTTTAGGTAGGATAAACCCACAACAATACGTCTACTAGAACGGTAAACAATCGTTCGGGCGTGATCTAAAGACCCAGACGCAGCCCTTACGCCGGGACAGACTGGACCTACAAATCGCTTATATAGGCCACCTTCCCCGATATCCGCCGAATTTCAGACAGTCGCTGAGGATTGCCAAGAGTTACCCCAACCTGTACCGAGCGCTCGTACCGTGATCTAGTTTACTAGTTTAATATCGCTGAATGCAAATCCAGCCAGTACCATTATTACTAAAAAGGGCGCCCTGGATTGAGCGACATTTTGGTCACTTCTGGACTCGGCGAGCATTCGGTAGTGGCCTGGTTTAACCTCTATTACGCTGGCGTTGATACCCATCACGTGACCGAGTGTTCGAGGTTGGGCAATATGAATGTAGCCTGCTTGTCTTACTACAACAATCTTGAGTGAAATATTTAGAAAAGCTGCACTACATCCAGCTCAGCTTGATTATGTTTGGATGGACTCCGTCTCAATGCGCCTCCTGAACAACCGTGGAATCTGCTGCCGTGGCACTCATTCGTACCTGAAGCAAGTTCGTGTCATGGAGGATTGGTGCATTTTATATAGCTCCTTCACTCTAGCACGCATACTTGGAAGCCGGTGGTTTAGGTTTTTGATTGGGGACGTTTAACTAGGTCTAGGATAGGGAACGAAACGGGAACTCGTGTAGCTATATATTGAGGTACCAAACACCCTTAAAGGCAAGAAAAAGAAAACGCTTATGATCATTTCGCTCAGTACAATTGTATATCGAGGAAGGTCATCATTTCGCTCAAATCGTGGAAGTCACTGTTCGCGGCAGCACAACAATAGAAAAGAAGTATCACCCATGATCCAGGGAGTACCAGAAAGAGCCTGAGTTGAGAGAAGATAACCATGCTAGACCCAACATATTTTTCCTATCAACTTATTCAAAGCTGTGTGGCGACACACAATTTATATTTAAATCTACGGAAAAATTGAACGAACAAGTCATATTTTCCAAGACTTGCATTTCTGCCTATAACACGTCACAATCATGTTGCCAAACTGGCAAAGTGCATAACATAGGACCTACGTTATCGCATTGGTGCATGCTCCTGCGATGTGCTTTGCTCCTGCGATGTGCTTTGCTCGCAGTACAGACAACAGCTCTAACGAAGTAGCAAAGTTGTCATATCGTCTGCAACGGTAATTTAATATCAGTTCTTTTGCTATGAAATACTTCCCTGAAAACGTGGAGCACCATCAACTATGCTAAAACTGTTACATTTAACCCATTATATATGGTTACAGGAATCATCAATTTACATTCCTACCTTTCCTATTTAGTTTGCCTCTGAAGAGCGCCACTTTTCGCCAAAAACAATCTGACATATATATTTAAAAAAAAATACACTTTAGTTGTGTGTGGCTTAGAATAATCATTCTCTTTGTATTGATAATAAATATACAGTTTTCTTAAATACAAAAACGCATCTCTGCAAATATTCTGGATAAAAAATCCAGAGAATGGGGCATTATAGTCGCCGTGGGAATGACGTGAGGAATCTGCAGTGTGTTTCCTCTTTACGGATACGCCGTTGTTGGTGGAGTTGAGGATCGGGAGTGGGCCATAGTAGAGAAGCTCGACAGATCCGAATTTACAATGTTTCTTGATAAATAGCCGGACAGAAACGCGTTAAACTTCTATAGTTCTGAAACTGTCACGTTGATACGTCCATTGAAGCGCAACTGTCCCAAAGCTGTCGAGATTGAAAATTTGGAAGCATTGTTAAAGCCTTAGGACCAATGGACGCCTACCAAAACCCTTCTAAAAAATGTTTTGACGAAGGGTCGTCCGTGATAAAACCATGATAAAACATTCGAAAAAAACAGGCGAGTTTGATCGGACCAAACTTTGGTCCGATCAAAAATCGCATTAAACTCTTTTTTAAATCTTTTAATCCCACTCTTATTCGACAACCGTATTAAAATAGACTAACTTTCACTATCAACACAAACTTTGCCCTTAACTAGAGATTTTTTTCCAAATTGAAGTTCCGCGATCTTCTTCGGTCGCTGGGCGCCAAAATCGCGCTAAAACAATGTTGAAATTTGCGCGCTCGAGCTGAAGTCTCTCGCGCTGACAGCAAGACGAGCAGGGTAAAGACTGCATGGGTGATGCTCCGTGTCTTCACTTTATACTTATTCGGGCTGCACTAATATTGCGCTTTGTATATCTAGATACCCTGATAAAGAAGATCAAGATGTTCTGATGTTGAGTGTCGTCTTAATGGAGGAGGTCTATCACCCCTTGCCACTAAGCGGCAAAAATTGGTATCTGGAGCTCCAGATGCTTCGCTGTTTGCTGATTGCGAAAATGGTGGTATCTCAACATCGCCGAGTGAGACGTCGAGAGCCACGGGTACTCGAACACGTGGAGGTGATCCGCTTATCTCGATTTGGCCTGGAAGGTCGATGCCGTGGTTGCGCTCGGGGCATACGTTCGGCCCCCATTCAAGTTCGCCCCCTGTCGGAGTTAAAATTGACCGCACTCCCGGAAGCCGACCAGACCGACGGTACTGCGTCCAGCGAATCTACGATCTCTGAAGCTTGGAACGCTTCTTCTCCAGCTCGCTCCTTCTCCACCACTCGGTCGCTTTTGAGTACGAGGACACTTTCACCGGGAGCCGTCTCCATGCACAAATTCGAGGAACTTCCAGCCACCCCACCACAAGCTGTGTCCATAAAAGAGGAGAACAACGAGTACGCGGGTTCGGAAGGATACGATTCGGCCGCCGTTACCGTCATCTGTACTCCGTCCAAATCGGTTGCGGTCAGTCCTGAAAGCACCCCTCGTCTTGCCCCGGCCTTAGCTGCTAGCTCTCCTGGTTTTGATCTCCTTGGGAACACATCTCATTATTCCGCTCGAGACGAGTGGCAGCCTGAGAAATGGCCTCTGTAAGTGACTTTTCTCACTTCTCAGTACAATCCCCAGGACATGAAGTTTCCGACCGTCAGCCTGGGCATCAACGGAGGGGAGGGCTGCGGGCGCGAGGATCGTTGCCTCGCTGATACTTGTCTCAATGCGCAGTCAAGTCGCTTCTGCAACGCCGGTAATTGCCCCTTCATGGGGGAGTGTGACAACTCGCGTCGTGAGAGTTCTGTCCTGGATATCTGTCGCAATGCTCGAACCGGCATGCGAGGCGTAGTCGCGATGGGGGGCCATACATGCTGGGGAAGTTATTGGCGAGTACTTCGGGCACCTGCAGTACTTCGGTGCCCCCTGCAGGAGCGGACCAGCTAACGAAGGGTATCGTCTACGCATGAAGACAAAGACTACCGGTAACAAACATGTCGGCATCGACGTTCTCCACGCCGGCAGCAAAGTACGCCTTCTGAACCACTCTTGCAACCCGTGAGCCCGTTTCCATGAGGTGCAGACCGGAAAAGAACTCACTGTCGTGGCTGTAACCACACGGGACGTTTTTCCCGGCGAGGAAGTGACAGTAAGTTACGGAAACCACCTCTGGTTCATCTGCAGCTGCGGGTGGTGGGGATGCCAGCATCGGGACCTCCAGGACGCTACCCGCGATGACCATCACTCGCCGTTGGGCGCCTTGCTTCTGCTTGAAGACTCCACGACATAAGAGGAAACCGCGGCTGCCGAGAAGCTCGTGAGGTGAATGTGAGAGCTGCAGATAGCGGTACAGCAATGTAGGTACAATTGAGTTTACATATGAAATGAGTTTTTTTTTTAATTAAAGTGTAGTTTGGTATACAAAAACTGGTATATTCGATCCTCTTTGAGGTTTTCTAGTTTGCAATCTTCTAGCACGTTTCTCTTCAATCTGTACATTTCGATATTGTCTTGGCTGAGAAGCAAATCAAGATGTCGAAGGTGCTGTGGCTGGAAATTTGCTCTTGGACTAATACTTACGCCTTGAGGGGTTTCTGTACGTACAGCGAGGGCGCCGTACCGGCTACAAAACCTTCTCGATCCCCGAGCAACTCTTTCTCTGTGAGATTTTGGATGATATTCGTCCCCTTGGGAAGTACAGGTGGGAGTGGGTCGCTGAGCAGTATAACTACAGACGACCTCGGGGAACCTGTGAGCGCGACTATGAGTCGATGAGAAGGAAATTCAGAAACCTCGTGGCTAAGAAAAAACCGTCAGGCATCAACGGAGAGGTTCCCAAGTCCAAACGGCCCATTCTACTGGCGTAGGAGATCCATGAGATAATCGAGGAGAAGGCCGGATCTAACGAGAATCTCGATGGTCCTGACGGCGGAGAGGATGATGACGAGCTGCTTCGGCACGTTGAAAGAGTTGCAAGAGATAGGAACGGCCAGCAAAGACCCAATGGCGGTATCGAGGAACGCGTCTCCGTTGAAGGAGACACAGACGACATGACCATGGGTGAAGCAGCTTCGGATTCTGACACGACCGGCCGCGAGCGGCTCCGCGAAACCCGAGAACTTAACGTAGAACCACAGAATGAAGATTCGACTCTCATTAGCGAGCAAACGGACGAGTCATCCGACCGTTTGCCCAATGCTGACGCAACCACCAGTCTCGGGACCATCGCCACCGGCCAAGGCAATATACCAGCCGAGTTCAACCAAGACATCGACGGCTGGGAGTCGTACATGGGAGAAGAGAAAACCGAGAAAGATAGTCAACCTGATCTACTCCGTGCCGTCCAGATAGAGGCAAGATATCGCCCCGCGTGTGCGAAGCGTAATAACAGCCGCGTCGTTCGCCAAATTTGCCTCTACTCAAACGGTTCTCTAGATGCATCTTCTGGAAGAGATCGAGTGGGTTCGCTATCCGCAGATAGCGAAACGCGGCGACCAGAAACACCTACGCAACGCAAGTCCTTTAAACGTGACCCCAGAAATGCAGTGCACGACGTCAACGAAACCAGCAAACACAGGGGTCTGTCTCCTGCTTCCAATAGGCTGGGTGGCCCGGATCTCCGGATAACTTCATGAAATGGGAGGAAGAATCGCCGGAGCCAAGCATAAGCGGACATCTTCCGAGCCGTCGCCATCTCCAACTTTCGTAGCCTCCAAACGAACAAACGCCTAGAAGCGCATTGACAACCTCGGCACAGAGGTTGCCGCGCACGAGGTTGCTCAATTAGCAGCAGCTCAGGACATGTCAAACCTGCTCCTCATCTTCCATGAAGACGCGAACCGTAGAGAAGACGCTGAAGAGCGCCGATGACGCGAAGAACGTCAGGAAAGACAAGCTCACGAACAGAAGGAGCGAAAAGAACCGCGAGAGGCTGCTGAAGCTCTACTTGAACGAAGGGCTGCGGAGTTGGATGAAAGCAGACGTCAGTTTGACGAACGGATGAAGCTGGATCGAGTAGAGGCCCGAGATAGACACCAGCAGATGATGCTGGTGCTAACGGCCATGATCCCAAAGGCAAACACCAAACCAAACGAGATGTAGGACATGTAATTTCGGTCTCAAACATAATGTCATCTGTTACTTCCTGTGTAGACGGCATCCTCTCTACTGTGGAAGGAGACAGCCCGAATCTCGCTGATTCCTACCGTACAAACTCTATCGTTCGCCAATCTAAACAAATTATCAAGACGAATGCGTCGCGTGTCCTTATTGAACGGCAGCGGCAGCAGGAGGCAGTGATAGAATTTCTCTATCGAGCCCATGCCCCATTCTGCTGACTGCCTGATGGAAGTGATATCGGCAGACAAAGATGACGCCACACGGCGAAGTGAAGGCAGCAGTCTGGAGAGATCGCCCTCTTTCAGGGGAATGAGCATCCCCCCCCCCCTTCATCTCGCCGCCACGGGAAATGCGCTATCTGCCTCAATACAATAATGAGAGACTGGATTGAGCACCGGATCCGCCAGCTTTTGATGGAAGGCTAAGCTGGTATCTCCGTCGTTCCAACTTCCAGGGCAATTGTGCTTCACCCACACATTTAAACCGTCGTCGGCGAAGCACAACGTCCCGGTTACGAATACACTATGGAGCCAGCCATTGTAGTTTGCATTCTGAAGGTCGGTGTCGGAAGGAGATTGAACCTGTATGTACACAATAGGGAAGTTAAGA